GGGAGTTACTTCATTTACTGTCAAATGTAAAACCCCGTTATCAGCCGAATCTGAGAGCGGAGTCAAAGACCGTCGAGATAAGAGAGAGAAAACACGTCCGGAAGCACATTGACTGTATTATCAAAGAGCTGAGGGCAGGTGGTGCCATTGTTTAACATCAAGGTAATGTCGGCTATACAAGAAGAGAAGCTCGTACTCGCTGTAAAAATCTGCTGGCTTCTCCGGTCTGCACACATGACTCTAACACAAGGTGGTCAATGGCCATGGAGGGAAAAGCAATTTCACATCCTTCACTCGCTGACCTGTGGAGAGCTGAGAGGAGGGGACGAATGGACAGAGAAAAAGCCTACTGAAAAGAGTCACGCTATAGCACATTCAAATATGTAAAGAAACTTGCAGCCTAAATTTGCATTAAATGGTGATCGCATTCTGTCATGGAATTAGAAATATTTAAAAATGAAACAGAATATTAAATGAAAGATAATTTAGGACAGAAAGAAGAGTATGATATTATTGGAAATAAATAAATAAAAAAATGTTTAATAATAATAATAATAATAATAATAATAGTAATAATAATAATAGTTTAAATAATAATAATATTTATTATTACTACTACCACTCCTACTACTACTAATTATTATTATTTAATAACAAATAAATTATTTGATTTAATAATAATAATGAAAATACTAAGTAATTAAATGATATGTTCATTATTAATTATATTTTTTAATTATATTAATTAATTATAATTACACATATTAATGTGTGTGTTACTTTTGTATTACTATTATATTTAATAATAATAATAATTAAATAATAAAAATATTTAATAAAACGTAGTAACATTATTATTATTGTTGTTATTGTTATCTATCAACAAACAAAATATGTAATACTAATTCTGCATGTGTGTGTGTGTGTGTGTGTGTGTAGATATATACAATTATAAAAATAATAATAATAAATATTATTTATTAACAAATGAAATATTTTAAGAATAAGTATAATTATAAATATTTACTACGGATTAATTAAACATCCTAATGGAGATGACTTGCATCCAACATGTGTAACCTAGGATCAAAAACACTCTACAAAACACGCCATGAAATCACACTGTCCATGACTATTGTGCAGTCGGTTTGAAATCACAGTAAGGTCCAGCTGATGTCATTATGAGGACAGTGGACTCCATGACTGGACGCTTCCTATCTACTTTCAAACGGATTGAGGAAGAGCTCGATTTAGAGATTAGTGCTCCTCTAGTGCCCTGTGAGGCCGCAGTATCTGTCTGAGAGCAGAGCTTGGATTTGAGCAGCTGAGCGCTCGTATGATTGAGCTGCGGTGCTAAAAGGTCACGCTATCGACTGTGCCTAGTGTAATGGCCGCAGGATGGTTCAAGCCCTGAATCTTTAATAACCTCCATCATTAGCTCTTAGGAAATCAGCGCTTTCACAGAGCGGTTGGAAGAGATCTATTGGCTCTTACCATCGCAACGCAGGGCTGTAACTTACAGGGTTACAACATGTAGGGTTACACGGCTATTTTCAACCATTATGCTAGATTAAAAAAAAGGTTCAAGGAGACGTGTTAAATCTGACCGATTGTACTACTCCATTAAGGCTATTCGGACCACATTATATTTATGCTACTGTGATGGTTATTTCTGATAGACAAATGTTCATAGCAAAAGGTTAAAAAGGCAAAAATGCAAGACAGACTTAAGCTACAACAATCCTGAATGTGGTATGAATTAATATTCCCTATATTAATCAAAGTTTAGTTATCAAACACACATTTACAAAAAGATAAGCTATCCTGGTGATTACTTGCATGGCTGAGCGACAAAATCTAATTTCAACAAATGTTAATTAACTACTCACAGCACCAGAGTTAAACTACAAAACTAGCATATATATGCAATCATATAATATAGTCTATTTTTGATAACCCACAGCACAAAAATGCATAGAACTGTCAACGCAGAAAAGCTTGCAAATTGCTCGTGCAATTAACAATGAAAATAATGAACTACACCGTATAAATTTGTGGCCTCTAGGACAGATTAACGAAGAAAAAGGTTTAGCAATTAAGATCAGGAGAGTTATGGGATAAGCTTAACCAAGTAAGATAATAAAACCTACTTAGACTAAAGACTTTACAAGCCCTTTATCAGCTGGCCAACCTAAAGATAATGCCACAGAAAAAGAGCAAGCCAAATTCCAAAAGCCAGGATTTTGAGAATTAATCAATTATTTGATAAAAATCTTCAATCAATTAATGCTGCATTAATTTAGAGTGTGCTTTAGTCTTCTCGTCTTAATTCATATCTCAATCCTGCTATCTAGCAGAATATTTTAAAAGTCTTTTACAGCCACTGTTGCTTTTATAATTTAGAAGACTTCAATATTTACCATGTTCAGTTCTGACATGTCATAGCAGCACTTGAACCTGATTGAAAGCATATGTTCAAAATGGAATCATAGCGCACTGCATAGTATGCACTCTATTGTTTATTTATACAGCCTGATGTTTTTAATCTTCATATTTTTATCTGGATAAAAAAACAAACAAACAAAATACACACATCCTGTGCACAGTATGCATAACGCATAATACTTTCTTTCAAAGTATTATGCAAAACATTTTATAATCTCAGAAATACATATGATTATTTTACATTGAATCAAATTTTGAGTAAAAATATCCTAATTTTCAGAGTCATATCATCTCTGAACAGTATCATCTCTGGTTCATCTGTCAGACTAGAAATGAAAGATGTGCATTGAAAATCGAATGCATTGCATAAAGTATTACTTTATGCAGTATATTTGTAAGGCAGGTCATCCAGGTATTTAGATGTACAAAGTTCAAGGCCCAGAAAGGTAAGGACATCGTTAAAATAGTCCATGTGACATCAGTGGTTCAACCGTAATGTTATGAAGTTATGAGAATACTTTTTGTGCGCAAAAAAAACAAAAATAATGACTTTATTCAACGATTTCTTTTCTTAGACGCGGATTCATGAGAGTACCACAATGTATACTTGTGCATTCCTCTGCTTGCAAACAAGGCACAGCGCATCCGGGTCCTACGTCAGAACGCCGGCTCCTGTGTCAGCAGCACCACACGGATGCGTCGTGGTACTCTCGTGAATGGCAGTGGAGACTGACCCTGGGAGAAGAAATTGTTGAATAAAGTTGTAATTTTTGTTTTCTTTACAATTTTTTATCAATGTCCTTAATGCAAAGTCCTGTCATGAAACTCTAGATGGCGCAGGCTGATGGGTCGTTAATGCAAATTGATAATATTCACAGAGTTAAACGACTTGGCACAAGCTGATTGGTTCATGTTGCATATGCTTACTGCTTTACATTTAAATGGCTGCTTAACATTCACTAGAGCAGTTCGCAGCACACTTTCAGAGTTCCTCTGAAACCCTCCACCTTCCCCAGCTCCACCTGTATAGGTCCACTACGGGTTATTATTATATATGCTATTTGTGCAGCAGCAGGTCTTAAATACTCACAGCAATGTATTGGCGTATGTATTGGCAGTAACAAGTTCCTATACTCGCTTTGTAGCAGCAGCAGCAGCAGCAATAATCTACAACAACAGCATAAACCAACAGCAGCAGCAATTCAGCAGCAGCAGCTTAACAGATCTATTCTGCCAAGACCAAATATGTTAACACTGTCATATCCATTACCATGCTAAAATCTTCCAAGAGTTGAACGTGGTAGCTGTGTTGCTGTCTATGCAGGGTCAGAAAGCTCTCGGATTTCATCAAAAACATCTTAATTTGTGTTCCGAAGATGAACGAAGGTCTTATGGGTTTGGAACGACATGAGGGTGAGTAATTAATGACAGAATTTTCATTTTTGAGTGAACTAACCCTTTAAGTATATAAAAATGTTTTGCATTATACAACCATAAATTATTACAGAAGTTGCATGCTATGTTTTTGTCACATGGCCATATTGCATGTTAAATTCAGTCTTTGAGAATAAAATTTGAGGTTGGTATCCCCTCTGATTCATTTGCCAAACTAGAAATGTAAGGTTGAATCCAGTGCACGGCATTGTGGCATACCGTATTTTGATTGTATACTGAATATTTTGAACCCATGTCATCCAGGTACTCTTAGACCGTGCACAGTATATATAAGGAATCCTGTTTTGTTTTTTTCTTCAAAAATAGATAAATAAATTTATACAGTATGCTGAATCCAATTTTGAGTACAACAAGTCTCTGAGATATATATATAAAAATAAAAAATCGAGGTTGGTATCACCTCTGGTTCATTTGCCAAACTAGAAATGGAAGGTCGAATAGAGTGCATTGCATTGTGGGATACAGTACTTCATGCAGTGTGCTCAGGTTGTACACTGCACATTTTGGACCCTCACACACTGTGAACTGTATATAAGCTGCATAGCATTTTCTTTCAAAATTAGTGGGTAGTTTGCTATCCTGAACACATCCAAAATGATCCACAATCTCATAGACAAAAATGAGTTATACTGTTACAGTAACTGCTACAGTGAGCATCTTGATGGCACCTGTGCGGTTAGATCCCCTCATCCAAGGACAGCAAGAGACGATTCTGATGATTTGTGTGAATTTTCAACCAACGGTGAACAAAAGCTGCCTGTTGTGCAGCCGTGTCTGGGTTGATTGAAGCCTGCTAGCACTCGAGATGAAGCTCAGCTAGACAGGACCGCAAGAGTTCTGAAGGTCACTTTCTCACCGTCTGACCTCGCCGATCTGTCTGTTTATTGAACAGCCTGGGCTCAAGCCAACAGAAGCGGGGAACACGCTAGCATTCCAATGAGAACATCTCTCCAGTGCTTAAAATATGCAGTGATGAATGCCGCGAATTAAACAGCAGCTAACAAACCCGCAGGAGTTTATCTAACACTAATTTGTCCAGATTCTCTTCCGCACCATTGGACGAAAAGAGATTGGCGAGTGAAAATCTCACGTGCACTCACCTGTGAAAGCCCCAGGTATATGGACACCGTCTCTGAGATGTACAAAAACCTCCCCTCCTTGTTTAGTGCAAATACAAATCCATCCAGGGACTGTGGAGGAAACAGAAAGAGAGAAAGAGAAGAAACAAGTCAGGCGAGAGTCTCGCAAATAGCTTATTCCTCACAGCACAGAGACGGAAGCCATCAAGCCCAGAATTACAAACAGAACCGCATCCCGTGTGGAAACGACTTACAGATCATTAAAGAACAACAATTACAACGTCAATTAACAGCTTCGGATCACAGACGCTTTAACTGTAAGGGACGGTGTGAGCAATACATAAATATTAGGCAAAAAATGCCTCATTCATATCAATAAAGGTAGCAGTGTTCTTTCAAAACTAGATTTTTTTCCCCCTGTAAACTCGATTTCATTGTTCAGCTCAATCACACAAGTAGAAAAATTATGGATTGATCAGATTGCGATAAATGTAATGTTACATTTCAGAATGTGCCACCAACGCAATATTAAGGTTAAAGTCAGCATGAAATGAAAATTCACACTATTTTCTAAATGCATTGATCCTATTGTGAACAATTAATCGGTGCATGTCAGGGTTATTATAGTTAACTAAAACTAAAATCATTAAAAAAAGTGTTACTTGAGATAAAATAAACATGAACTGAAATAAAATAAAATATAATATATTAAAAAAACTACTAATAAAAAAATACCAAAAAAACATTTTTTTTTTAATTTACTTGATGTACTAGAATAAAACAAGTAAAACTGAAATAAAAAATAATAAAAACTTTGAAGACAAAAAAAAAAATCCCAAAAACACACAACAAAATGACTAAAACTTAATAAAAATTAAAAATAAAAACTAATCCAAACTATTAATAAAAAATATAATCAAATCTCCATTATACTAAAATAATACTTGTGCACAAAAAAAAGAACTAAAAATGGAATTCATTTCACAATAAAAAGTTATTTCTCAAAGAGTAGCAGCATGAACAACAGAAAAATTTTGCTGGACACACAAAATCACATAAAAGCTAAAGTGCTTGATTGTGAACAAAATCACCCGTGATTGGTCAATGACCCTCTGCAGCTGCAAAATCACTTTTTATTTTGCATGGTGTGAGCTGCTAGCACAGCTTGGCAAGCGGTTGTGTTTTCAGTGCCATCACCGTTTTGCTGCCTGTCTCTGCTCGCTCATTATCAATGACAACACAGGCTTCATTGGAACAACATTCCTGTGATGACATTTCTGCAAAAGGATATTATGTTGCTTCTTTCATTTTTCACAGCACTTTAAAAGCAAAATGTCCAGTGAGGGGTGCTAAAGACGCATCAGTTTGATCTAAAACAGGAATCTGGTATTGTTTTCAAAAATATAGATTTTTCGATACATATTGATACTCACTTCATAACATCAGTCAAGTGTTTGAAACAACTTTTGTCATCTGATGTGGCTTCTTACAAAATGAGGCAGAAAATATATTGGTAACACTTTCTATGGAGCCCGTATTTATAATACATTATAAGGGTATTCTTAAGGCATTATAATGAATGCATAATGCATTATAAAAAACCTTATAATATGTTGTATCATCTCATGAATATTCATAAGAACAGTTTTAATATATTATAATATTTACTTATTTGTGGTTATAGCTTTTAAGAGTATGATGATTTATAACACAATGAACACGTTGCATCCACTTTTACAATGGATTATATTTCTCATAGTTATAATGTATTATAAGTCTCATATCTTGCCATTTTTCTTATGCTACTTTACTTAAAGCGGTCAAAGACCACTTATAAGTAGTAATAATAATAATAAAAAAAATTCTCTCAAACAGCCATAAGATCAGATCGCAGATCAGATGAATGTGGGTGTTCATTGTGTGTTATAAATAATCATACTCTTAAACTTATAACCACAAATACGTAAGTATTATGATGTATTATAACTGTTGTTATGATTATTCATGAGTTGATATAACATATTATACGTTTTTTTATAATGCATTATGCATTCATTATAATGCCTTAAGAATACCCTTATAATGTATTATAAATACGGGCTTCATAGAAAGTGTTACCAATATATTTTATAGTATTCTATGCTGTAATGCAGGCTATGTTGATTAGCATTGCATTAGAAATAGATTGTATTTTTATGAAATTATCTGAGATGGCTTGAAGAGCACAGATAAACCATATATCGCCGAAGTCGTGTGTTTGTTGTCTTCAGTTAAGCATTTCTATCTCTTTTTTTATTCAGCTACATCAATAGTTGGATGTCTTTGTCCATATTAGGAATTTCCTGTAATGTCATAAGTTACATTACATTTGTGAGGCATATTTGGAGGGCATCGAGTATGAATGAAACAGTAAAAAATGTAATTAATCTGAAAATATACATCACTGTCATGTTCTAGCCTGGTTTTATTCATCTTTCAACAAAAATATAAAATTTTATGCCCTTAATGTTGTAGCAATTTTCCCCCGAGGTATCAAAAATGGTATAGAATATTGGTATTTTTCAAGGTATCATATCAAAGTTAGGAATTTCAGTATCGTGACAACATCCCTATATACTAGTTTTAACCGTGCAAAAAACGTTTAAGTATACCTAACTACTTTTTTCAACTTTTTCTGGATGATCGCTTACCAGTCTGAGTCTCTATGTTAGTCTAGTCTCTATGGCTCAGTTTCCTCCTCCAATTTAAGTCTGTGGGATTTCTTTGCCCATTTTAACCATACGTCAGGCAAAAATAAAGCACACCTATCCTCAAAAAGCTGCAAGATTTTAAGCAGTTTTAGCTATCACTCCCATTAAGCCATCATTCAAGTCTGCAGTACAAACAGTGCAGGATAAAGCCAACACTTAATGTGTAATACAATGTTTAGCAAGCACCGCTAATGAACAGCTCCTGATCACAGATGCCATACATAAATATTCTGCAAAACAAAGCCATATTCATATCGATAAAAGTCACATGCATAAGAAAAGAGCAGTTGTGTTGGGTCATTTCTGCATTACGAGTGCATAATTAGGAATTTTGGACTAAAGGAAGCCCCATGGTACGGATAGCACTGCCGGAGGTGCTGCTGTTGGGTCTCCAACAGTCAACAATTAAGATATTGAGGTCACATGGGTTAATTACATATTGTCTCCCACTGCCTCAGATAATCTGTAGAGTGATGCACCCCGGGCGAGAAAATGCCAGAAAGGAAAGACAAGAAAAAAAACAAGGTATTGTGCACAATGTCACAGCTGATCCGATTACCTTTTTATGAAAATCAGGTTTACACAGACTCTCTCGTTTATTTGCGAGTTTAAAGCAGCATCGGCAGCTGGCGAGAGAGTGTGCGGTCTCTACTCGCCGATAAAACAGTGCAGCCTTGGGCTATTTACAGCGTGCTGATATGCAGCTGACAACAGCACGTCCCACGGCGGCCCGCTAGCACATCACTTCCTCCCTGAGCACGCATCTGCTGGAGGTGATGTGTTAGACTTACGCTTTACATTACACTGTGCTAATGCTAATACTAGCCCATTATATGGCACTTTACATTTGAAATGCTAATATGCCAATATAGATTTAACATAAATGCTACACTAACACAGACGCTTATTTACATTACTTACAGCATCAAAAAGCTTCAAGGGACTATATTCTACACATCAAGCATTTAATTTTGACCCTGAAGTCCACTTATAATATCAGTTAAGGTTTTCTGCACCAAATTGGTTGTAAATTACTCTTAACTGACCGTGTTTGCACCCTCTCACTGACACTCAGGGGCTGTTCACACAGAATGCATTGTTGTTTTTTATCCAAGCTATTTTTTAATTGTTGGTCTATGTAAATATGCCCAAAACAAACATCTTTATTAAGATTCTTTTTTTTTTTCAAGAGGCGATCAATGTTAGTTTTAAAACAATGGACCAATTAGATAAAAAAAAAATTTCATGTGCAAAAATCAGTGTTTATATTAGCAAAATGGGATAATAATGGGAACTAATGTCTTTCTGGTTTATAATATATTCTGTGGGAACATCTCCTTAGAATGAACATTTTTAAAAATTTAAATGTACAAATAAAAATAAATAAATACATATATATATATATATATATATATATAATTTACGTATTTATTTATCTATTTTAGAATAATGTGCACAATAAGGCTAGGCCAACATGTAATATATAAAGTCAACATGAAAACAACTTAATTTCTGTGATTTCACATATTTATAATTGAAATTTCCAAGGGTTTTCAACAAGAATGTTGGCCAAAAATGTATTACATTTTGAAGAAATATTAAAGAAAAAAACTTTACTTCAATTTAGAATAATTCACACTAATATACAGTATATACATATTGTGTACAGTATTCTCGGGAACTTATTTACTTTTTATTAAGAAATGTAATAGGGTACATTTAGATTTTATGTCTACAAAACAAATATAATATTCAATTAATTTATATGATGCTGAATTAATATTGTCTCTTGTTAATGCTATTTGAGAATAGCGTAAACTTAGAGAAGATTGATTTATGTGTTTTAATTTCATCTATGTTTAATCTTAATCTAGATTCTATTGCTTTTGTTGCCTGAGGTCAAATGTGCAGATCCCTAACGGATACAGAATTTCATTTCCCTTCTGTGAGATGCTTTCTTCCTTCTCTCAGCACTTTAGACAACAGAGCGAGAGAGTGAGAGCAAGAGAGAGAGAAGCTGCTTGCCAGGCATGACTGCTTTAAACAAATGACAAAAAAGGCCCATCTTAATGTTACACTTTTCTCCCCCAGAAGTTTGTCTGGCTAGTGATTTATTGTGCACTTTACACAGTGGTTAGCCTGTAAACAGAGGCTGTTTATCATGGAGGGGAGCCAGGCAGAGGCAAGCAGTGTTCCTCAGAGACCTGGCCCACAGATGCCGCGCGGTTGATGGAAGAGCAGCGGCGAACAGGGAGGAGATGATTGCAGACTGGCTGGAGGTGACTGCTGCGGGTCCGTCCTGACAGCCAGGGCTGCGTCTGCATGGCCGTATCAGAGTCTGAGGAGTCTCTCTCAGGTCAG